AAAAAAAAGGCATTCGATTTAAGGTTCGGACACAGAACCGAACAAAATCATAGAACTTTAAAACGTCAATTGCCTCAACGTCCAAATAATCTGCAATGCAATTGAATTATCAGGAATGATTACGATTTGAATGAAGCAAACGAATACTTACAGCAATGACATCCCTATCGCACCAGGGGATCTGATCACCGCTGCAGAAGAAGGAGGTGACGGACTCCAAGAACCTGCCGATCTTCGCTTCCATTCCGATTACCCAACTTGTGAATTTTCTGCAGTTTTGTGTGAAGAAATTGGTAGGAATGGAGAAATTGGTAGGAATGGGGAGTTTGGTTATATGTTCTGGGTAAATATATATCATATGATTCAGATTTGTTCTCCAACCTTTAGCTAGAATATATACCGATTAATGCGTGATGTGGAGGATGTCACCAAAAATCATAGTGTCATGAAGGACTTAATTCAAAAAATAAAAAATTAAAATCACTAATTGTATGTTGGGATTGAGGAGAATAAAGAGAGGGAATTATATTATTCTAGTTCCTTTTCCTCCTCTGATTTGGATTAATTGATAAATTAAAAGAAAAAAAAAGTAAGAGAATTTTTTTCTCTTTTTAAAAATTTTTTTTATAACTAAATAAAAGAAGAATAATAATAAATAAAATTAAAATTTGAGATCAAAATATAAGATTAATGATATGGTATAAGACACGTTATTTAAAATATTAAAAAATAAATTTTATATTATTCAATAATTGTTTTATTTTAAAAATTCATGCTATTGTATGCATCAATTAATTCAATAACGTATCATAACACATTGATCCTAAATTTTTATTCTCCTTATCATTACTCATAAAGGAATTTTTTTCTCCTTACCTCCCTTTCTCTCCCCTTCTCTTCTTCCCCTCAACACAAACATACCGATTCTTAGTTTACAATTCAGACTGCATTAAACTACAAATTAAAAAAACCATTGAATAAGAAATTACCTCTAATATAAAGAATACTGTATTTATTCAATAATTTAAGTTCTGAATTCTAAATTTTTTTTATTAGTCTAAGATGAGAAATCTATCTATACTTACGTATCAAGAGGAAAAATGGGTCCCTAACTTTTATTCTTTCAACTAATTAGGAAGTCAGTCTTGATTCGCAATGATGATTATAATTTGAATAGGGAATAACAATTTTTGTTCAACTAATCTCAAGTAACACCATAGTCATATTAGTGGCGTGGTTTTAGGAAATTTTGGGAGGGGCGCACCAACAACCTTGATTTAATTAAGAAATAGTGCTTCTGTGAGTGAATTAAAAAACTGAAGTAATTATAATTTTCATATGAAAATAAAATAAAATAAATATTATATAATATAGATGGTTTTAAATTACATAATTTTAATTATTTTTG